TGTGTGTCCCGTCTTTTCTTAGCTGTTCTTTACTCTGAAGTTCGTCCCTTGTGCCGTTCAAAATATCTTCCGAGCAGTGACATTGCTGAGAAAAAAGTGACATACTCGCAACATCATTTGTTGCTTAGGTGATCATCGAGAAAATCCCTACCTTCAAAAAACGACGAGCCGGAAACGCAATGCACAAATTCAGTGATTTGGGTAGTCTGCGTTCATGTTGATTTTTGTGCGCGCTGTGTATGCGTGTGTTCTCGCTGTATGTGAACTGTACTTTATCGTGCGCGAAGTGTATGTGTGTGTATAATTAAGATGTCTAAATCCAGTAGTAGAGAAAAAAAAAAACCATCTTGAGGTTGATGATTTGATGAATTGGTCAGTATCTAGTGCCATCCAACCTAGACATTTGCAATTACTCTGCCTCTGCCTGCCATCTGCTGGCTAGAGATTTAACCTTCTTTCACGCTTCGCGATATTTTTTGAAACGTGCAATAGGCCAAGTAGGGTGCTTTGAACTAGCTTTGTGGAAAACGCCCTTCGGTTTCGCGAATGGTTTTTCACCCCTCTCTGACGTGGGGGAGCTAGCGAAGTAGACCTGTCGCGGGAAATCGCAAACGTGAGACGTGACGTGCGCGCAGTGGCCGGGTTTCGGTTGTCTCCGTTTAACATCTTAATAATGAAAACAAGGAGACTGAGTGACTGCGTTCGAAACGCTTTTCTTTACTTGCGCGGGACGCCCGCTTCGGCAACTAATATAGTTCGTGAAAAGCTCGTGTTATATCTTCATCTGCTACAGCTCTCGCTCCGAAAGCAGAAACTTGCTTGGATGTATGCGAAGCGGTTGATTGCGTTTCTTGCGATAGCTGCTTAGCAGCCATGCATAAAGCTGCCAGTGGTGCCAGGCCTGTCCGAAAACTATGGTAGCTAGCTCTTTTCGTTTGAACCGCGGCACCGCTCCGCTTAAAGAGCGACGCTTTCCGTAGCGTCCTGGCGTCCTCGATAGGGCCTGTCTGAACTCGATTCACTCGATTTGGAGCCACCATAATGCTACGCAGACGAGATAGGAACTTTGCTCCCCCGTTTGCAGGACGGGGGAGCAAAGAAGGCAGAGGGAAAAATTTTCTCTTTATATTGAGGAATATATAAACTCGTTTTTATAAGAGTGTACAGAAGCCTGAGCTGCCAAAGTAGCGCTACGCGTTTTTCCGCGCCGCCTCCTGCCGCGATGAGTTACGCGCGGTATATCATAGCAACCGGACGAGCTTGCTCGATTCCCCTAGCAACCGAAAGAGACGAACAAGACCTACATTTGTCGAAGTAGCGTTAGGGCGTTTCGAGGCGGCGCCGGCGTACCTGTCGTCTGCTTCTTTCGCTTCTCGAATAGCGCGAAGTTCAAATTGCCAGTGTATGTTCCCGCGTGCTTTCAACTTACGGTGAGCTAGGCGGTATTCCAGATATATTCGGGCCTGTACACCGACCAAGCTCTTGCGTGGATTTCACTCCCTTTTACCGACTTTTACTGCGTTTAATCAGCGGATAAAGAGATAATATCAGCCACACCAGCACCATATCCCAAGTAGCACACATCCTCGGCTCAAACTTGGGCTGGACTGGCGCAAGCTAGAGCCAACTTGGCTCTAGCTTGGCACAAGCTTGCGCTAGACTGACCCAAGTGTGAGCCGCGGAAGTGCGCTACTAGTGATGGTGACCTCCAGGCCCAAAATGGAGGTCACTAGGCTCGTTTGATTTACTTGCACCTATAGCACCGGTGCCGAAAAGTGTAGAGCTGTGTACTGCCGGTATCTGTATTGAGATACGATCTGAAGTACACCAGCATATAATTTTCTGCGCCGGTGCAAGAGCTACACAGGTAAATCGAACGAGCCTACAATTGCTGCTTCTGTCCTTTTGCACCCGGGTCTTTTTGGGTGGTATCGCCGCCCTGAAACCTCAACCTGCCATGAGCAGTGGCTCTAGATCATGCTACACTTCAAAACAAATCTGGTCGCGAAAGAAACCCAAGGGGTTCTTCGTTTTTTCCATGTGTTGCACCCTAAAGAGTTATTCTAAGCATTCCCTGAAGGGGTTCTTCGAGAAAAACGCATAAGCGGTTAATTAAAGTTTCTTTTTTTCATGCGCAAGAGTTCTTCCTCGCTCAGTTGTCTTTCTAGTGCGCCAGGTGGCGATGGTGCTTGAGGTGAAACCGTTCTTAGCGAGCTGAAAGAGTTCTTGGGGCGTCATAAAACCCTTCAAAAACAGATGTTTTTTGTTGTTGTTTTTTTGTGTGTAGGGGCTCTGTACTTAAAGTATTATTGTTGTTGAACTTGCTTTATTCGTTTCTGGATTTACTTCCGTACATACGGACTTGAATGCTGGAAAGCACTCTGTGCCTTCAAGCGTTCAAGCTTGGAGGCCCTTAATTCCCGGGAGGGCTTCCATTCCCGAGAGAGCTTGAAGCCGCAGAATGCATTCTGAAGGGTTTGAATGCTTGAGCACAGGCACTCTGTGTATTCAAGCTTTAAAGCCGTCCCCGGCATCCGCGGACATGCATAAAATAGCGTTTTTTTGTTTTTTTTTATCGAGGAGCCATCCACTGGAAATAAATATTTAATACGTTAAAACGCATGCTTCGATAAGTACAGGTATAATATACTCTGTGTTTTCTAATAGTGTCTGTTTTATGTAGACACCTGAATCAATAATTATAAGCAGAATATATGTAGAACCATTTATAAAAAATATGGAGAGGCAACAAGCAAATACTACGCACCTAAGCTTTGTAATGAATCGCGGGAAGATATATCTCAATGCAAATTTCCGCACAGAATAAAGAAACAACTAAAATGAACGACAGAGAAAACAAAAGTGACCAAAAAGGCATCTAAAAAGGCATCATAGGACCACCCATTCTCCGACCCTGTCTAATATAATCAGACTTGTGCCTATCTCAAATACGCTACTCAATATACTGTTTTTAAAACTATTTTGAAGTATCTTGGTATCTTGCGAATCCTTTTGATCGAGAGTATTTGATACTCTATTTTAAGTACATTTCTGAGTATCTTGTACTCATTTTCTCAAATACATTTTTGACATTCTGCAATTTTCTGGGTTTTTCTGTATCAAGTGGCGTGGGCGTGGCACATGCAAACGTGAATATTCTTTCGAGCTACCAAATCCTGTAGCTAGCTCCGATTAGCTACGGTGACTCTGATTAAGCTCTTGAAAACATCGCTTTCTTGCCGATTGTGACTCAGATTTCAGCCCAAAGTTTGTACAACGAAGGTTTTCCCCCTGCCTTCCCAAAGGATCCTTTTGTTTCCTCGAGTTTCCCCCAAAAGCTCCTCAAACAAAAGGTGTGGCTTTACAGAAGTAAAGATTGCCACCCTGAGGTGAAACGCAGACCGGGAAACGACCTACAACAACAATGCACACTTGAGTGTGGAGAAAATAGCAAATGAAAAAAAAAATTAAAAGTAGACACACACAAAAAAAAATGTTTTGTTTTTTGTATATTTGACCCCGCTACGGCAAAACGTCAAGGTTTTCTTTTGTTTATTTCCTTTTTGTCGCCAGTCCGTCACTTATTGCTCTCGCGAACACTGTCTGTAAGCGAACATTGATAGGCAGAAAAGAGGACGGGACACGAGCTACTAACTGGATGACCTCTCAAAATGCCAACAAAGCGTGCCCCAACGTTGAGTGCCTTTCTGAACGCAACCCGCTGGAACAAGGTGTGACCACTGCCGTGGCTATTATGTGGGTTCTCTTTGTTATTCATTCGCTCATATACGTGTTCCAAGTTCGTTTATAGTGAATTATAATCGCCGAATAACAGGCTACCTATCTTCTCAATCCACCAATTTGGGTAGACTATTTTCCTAACGGAGACATCTGGTATTAGAAAGAGGATGGGAAATCGTGAAAGTTAAAAGCAATTTTAGTACATACAATGGTAATCAGATCGATCTTGTGATATCTTCATAATAGAGGTAACGAAATGATTACAAAATTACACGCAAAAGTAATCGACTACAAGTAATTTAATTACTTATAATCAGTACCGTACAAGTCTGAAGTTAGACGCCTAAAAACGCCGACTTTTGTTGCCTACAGCGAAAATAGACACCGAAAAATACCGAACTTATGGGGGAAATAAACCACGGTAAGACGTCCCTATTTTTGAAGAAAAGTAAACCCTGAAAACATGAAACCGTAGCAATAGGTTATACATAGATAGGCCGTAGACTTTCCGGTGTTTATTTATCGTGAAAATCGGTTAATGCCGACGTTTCTTGCCTATAGCAAAAATAGACACCGAAAAACACCGAACTTATGGGGGAAATAAACCACGATAAGACGTCCCTATTTTTGAAAAAAAGTAAACCCCGAAAAAATGAAACCATAGCTATAGGTTATACATAGATAGGCCATAGACTTTTCGGTGTTTATTTATAATGAAAATCGGTTAATGTTTGTCCCTGTTCATTTTTTTAAATATCAGTGTATTTCGCTGATACGATTTGAACAAACGCTAAGAACGGTGATTAGCGGTTAAACAATTTCCTTAACAACTAAATGCATGTCTAAGAAGGGTGGATACAAAGAAAACAGTCTTAGCTGTAACGAACTCGTCCAGAAATCTGTGTTTTTCGGTTTTAACCCAATATCGTATTTTTTTTACGCTAACGTTGTTTATCTCTGTTTTTCAATTCAAGCCTATTCTGCGTTTCGGACACCGACGGATGTTGTTTTTTTTTTTTAATACCAGTGTTCAAAGGCCTAGTTTTAGAGTTTACATTAATCCAGTAGTTTAGCGAAATGGTTAGTTGGTCAAACCACACTTTTTAGTGCGTTGATGTGTTGCCGAATAGTTTATGCTCACATTAAATGACTTGCAAAAATATTTAAATATAGATGACTGGAATATTCATTCCCTTCGAGAAATTCGAACGACCTTCGTGGAGGCACTCCTTCGTATAAAGGCGAAAGATGAACCTTACCGTCTTGAACTGCTCAGCGATCGAGTGAAGGACTGCGAGTGATGAGCCTTTTCCTCCCGTTAAATCGGATGATTTGCAGCAAGCTTGCCCGATGTGGGCCACCAAAGGATCCGTGTCCGTCCAAGGACGCTCTGCAACAAACAAAAATGGTTCAGTTCGCACCCAACGAACATAGCCGCCTTTTCCATCGAGCGAGTAGTCTCATAGCCTGCTCCAAATGACCACGCTCTAAGAAATTTGACGCGTTTGTTTTCCCGCAAAGCACTTGGGAGGGCCAATACTTTTCATTTACGAAGGTGTGTCGGCAAATGACAGCGCTGAAAATATGATTAGACCGAAAACCACTCAGCGCTGTGACACCGAGCGAGACTTTGCACCGTTATCACTGTCAAAGAACAGAATTGTTTTCTTATGTCTCAGCCAGAATCTATTATCTATATATTAGATTCTGGCTGTATATATATATTCGACATTTCGGCCGGAGTCCGGCCGAAACGTCGAAGATTAAACCGTCCGTTATTGCTGTTTTCACTAAGGGTTTTTTTCTTATGTACCCACGCCTTCGGCCCCCCGCCACCATGCCCGTTGTATATATATCTATATATATATATGTGGACACCGCGCACGTTCCAGTTGCGTGATAAAGTCCTCTTTTCGCTTTGGGGTCAAGCGGCGCCGCCAGATGGCTCTTCGATATGCGGCTAATGGCAGACAGCCTGTCGTGGGCCCGGATTTCCATGCTTCTCTCCGGGAAACATGCTTGCTTTTCAAAGTCGTTTTCTATAAGCGCCACGTCATGCAGAACTTAGCGCTTGTGGTACGCGGTACGGTACGCGTGCTGCTTACACGCCGCTTCGTCAGTGACCCTATGTATCGTGCTTTAACGGCGGCAATGAAAGTTTTATCAACACGCTGAAGCGAAGAGATCTCTGACGCGGTGTTCAAGTCAGAGTCCGTCAAGGTCAGACCTGACCACGGTGGACCTGACGCTCCGAGAGGAAAGAGCGCGTATCCGGGTGCCATTGGAACGAGACACCCTTTTTTTTTTTTCGCTCCCATTTTCCTTTTTATTTTCGTAGGTTTTAGTGATGTTGTTTTGCCTTCGACTTCCCGCTGGCATTGTCAACAGAAAGTCTGCACACTTTTTGTTAATATTGTCTATATTTTTTCTAAGATTTCCTGTAGGGCCAATATTTTTTTTCTGTTAACGCCACTTTTTGGATGTTTTGCAGACTTCCTCCGGACAGTGCTGTCAGGAAATCCGGAAACGTTTCATTTCGTGTTTAAAATATTCAGTTCATTTTGTATAGCCAGAGTCAACAGCAAGCTGAAGAGTTTCTGTTCACTTCTTATTAAACAATTGCATTAACTCTGTGCCAATCTTATATACCATGTTCCTCTAGTGATTTTATTGACTCTTTTAGACCGGCAAATTAGCAAAAAAAACTATTATAAAGAGGATCAGCTACCATGGCTCACAGCCTAAACATTTAACTCATTTATCCACGTACAGACATGTTTAGAAAAATATTTTTTTTTTCTCCTCGATACTGAAAGTAAGAATTTATAAGTACGTAGACGTATTTGTTCACTACGACCAGATGAATGTCTGAATGCCAGCGTAGGTTCTTAAACATGTACGTATTATTATGAATTATTTATATAATGCTTATGTATTCGGTTCTTTTTGAATCAAATTAAATCTAATTTGATCGAAAAACTTCTGTAACGGGTGTAACATTTACAACTGAAAGTAGAAATTGACTCCGCGGTTCTTGGGCTTTAACGCATAAGGTTACTGACAGCTTATGAATTGCAAGGTGCGCGACGCCCCGGCATTTCACTCCAGCCCCGCAACCAATGGGAGCGCAGTACTTCTCGGTCTGAGCGGCGAAGAACCAATCGCGAAGCAAGAGCATGTACATGACTGTGCCATGCGTTTCAAAAGGGAAACTGAAACGGTTCTGTATTTCAGGGAGAACACCTGAATCCTTTTCATTTAACCTCCGAAATCAACAATATCCGAACTTGTTTTATTCTTTTTTTATTTGGTGCACGGATGCTGCAAAAAATCATTTTGAAATTATCGCTGAAGCCCCTCCTTAGCGGAGCGTGACTTCATAAATGGAGTTTAGGGAATCTCCCCTATCGAGCATCTTCGGCACCTATCAAAGCTATGAACACACACTCTAGCTATCTTCAGAAAGGTCAGAAAAAACTTCACGACTGGTGTCAGTGCGGGGGAATATAGGAGGTATTCACTCTACGCCATATTTGAGGGCGATGTTTAGAGCGCATGCTCATAACGAGCTCACGCTAATAGCCTGCTAAGAACGGCAACCTTGCTGGTGCTAAATGCACGCTCCAAAAGGACCGCGGAAGCTCGCCGTCAGCACGCGCTCAGCAGCAGCGCACACGGAAGTGGCCGCCAGTGTATACTCCCTATCTGCTCATTCACACTGGAAGCGGATCCGCGTTCGCAAAGCGGTTGCGAACGCCGTTGTATTGGCGACGTGCGCGACCGAAAGCGTCGCTGTGGTCGGCCTTCCACGATTGGCCGAACGCTGACTATGACGTCGGAAAGGGGTTTTATCATCGACGGAAGTAAGAGGAAGGAATGAACTTTAATTTTGACGGTGTTGGCAGTGTTCCTTTGAGAGCGCAATGGTTTCAAGCTTCCACCATGCTATTTACAAACACCATCGAACTTGTTGTTTGCCAGGTAATGACGTCACTAGGGGGAACCGTAGGAGGGCGCCACCAAAACATCTCGCCGCTAATAAAGATCCAGTACAATTGCACGCGCACTCGATGTCATCGAGTGCGCATGCAATAGACCCTTTCCGAAATTCAGTCTGGCCACTTTGATCACTATCATCATCTGTGGAACGGAATTTGTGCCCTACGAATGGCGGCCTTCTAGTGACTGATAAAGGAAGACACTGAAGATGCTCCTAAGCGGATATTGCGAGGCCTGTACGTTCGGGGGTCAGTACGAAGCGAAGTAGGGCTGGAACACAAGAGCTACGTAAGCGTTTATTTCTAATTGCTCAGATTCAGTCAATCTGTCGTGGCACACAATCGGCTTTAAAGCACTTTGGTGTATAGAATTTTCTCGAGGCATCTCAGTGGGTTCGAGCTTTGTTCTGAATGCACGTTCTTGGTCACCATCGACCTGAAAGTGATCGAGAAAGAACTCACACTGAACGATTCCTCGCGTGCCGTCGACTTGCGAAAGTGACGGTGCCGATACAAGTTCATTTCCGCCATTGATAGGGCAAAACCTAAACTGCTTTACGAACCACCAGATGGCACTGAATTTCTGAAAGGGTCTATTGTACTGGATCTTTATACAACTGGGATCGCAACCGCTTTGCAAACGCGGATCCGCTTCCAGTGTGAATGAGCGGTATACCTCGCGAGCTTTTTGCTGTTTTGCAGCACGCACCGCCCACTTCAGCGACACGCGCTCGGCGGCCGAAACATCTGGGTGTGACGTAACGACTGGTAGGAGGTATTACGTGTTTTCTCACGTTTAGTTACGTCTTTGGGAAAGCGTAACGCTATATTCAGATTCACGGGATAAAAATACTCTAAAACTCATCTCTAACAATTTTTGTTTTCAAAAACTCATTTCTTTCTTTTTTTTAAGGGATTCTTTGGTGATATTCGGAATTTTCTTATTTGATGCGCTCGTCACGTAGAGTGGGCCTAAATATTATCAGTTGTGATATTTATTTCACCAAAAAACACCCCAATATGTATTAAATCAACAGACCCTTTCCGAAATTCAGCCTGGACACTTCAATAACTATCATCATCCAAGTGTATATTATCTGTACGTGCTAATGGCGGCCCATAATGGCTGCAGGGCGCGATTCTGGACATTCCAGACGTCAGTTCGCTGTGTCTTAAGCGTGTTTCGCATGCTGCGATTTTAGCCCTAAAGCGGCGCGATTTCTGCCGTCGCGGCGCTCGTGCCGCTCAACCGCTGGTGCTGGCCAGAGCGCCGCGACGGCACAAATCGCGCCGCTCTAGGGCCACTGCATGTGAAACACGCTTTAGTTCGATGTCACCGTGACGAGTCTTATAAGCTCCTATGCACTACGCTTTTGAGGGTGTCATCTAAATTCTTGGAATGCTCAGCTTCGGCACCCTTTCGATGGCTCATGGGAATCATATGTAAAGAATGTTATCAAGAGATCAACGAAGCGTCTCGGACAGAGTGCTTGTTTCTTGTCACCATGGAAACTGAAACAAATAGACAAATAATTGTACAACGACGAACACCGTAACTTTCGTACGTCTGCCATTGACTAATGGGTACTAGATTTTAACCACAGTTAGCATACGCAATTTTATGACCCTGTCAGACGGGCATTTTAAAGACCTTTAGAAGAAGATCCTTTAAAAAATCGGCGAACCGGCGCACGCCGTAGGGCGTGGGCGCACTCAACATCCCGAGCCGATTGGCCGTTTTTATGAAGGAGCTTAGTGAAAAGGGACCTTTAGAACGCCGTCTGTCAGGGGTATTAGACTAATATTTGAGACACTAGATGGCACTGGATTTGTGAAAGGGTCAGGAAAGGGTTTATTATGAACATTACTACGAAACTTCACGCCAAATTTTGCAAGCATGCATGGCTGGTCTCTGGGCTCGTCGTGTCGTGACTTCGCACCAGAGACGGTAACGTCACAGTCGCGGGCGTTGACTTACTTATTTTCGGTTTTGATCAACATGGTTCATGGTGTGTACAGATATTATCGTCGAAAAATTGAGCTTCCCTCAGTGCTGTGAATCTCGTCCTTTTTAGAACCTGGTTGTTTTACTGGGAGAGCAGTCAAAAGCTGTCGTGGCTCTTTTTGCATGATTTTACGTCAGAGCTTCCGCTGTGGACAACGAAAATGCTGTGTGTTTGGAGGGTTACGTTCTGTTTAAGATTGAATTACTTGTGCGGCGGAGGATTAAAAATTTTGATAGTGTGCGGATGATATCCTTAAAAGCAATAACAATAAGAATTAATTGTTTTCCGAAAGACAAATTGTTATCGAATAATACCTGTGACTATAGTCGCGTGGTTATTCCTTCCCCCCGCACCCGCAAACTCCAGCGAATACTACGGCATTTCGCGCTTCTTAGGAGGTTGAACATAATTTTCGCGAGCCGTTCCGGTGATTTTGGACTGACTGCGTAGAAGTAATACGATAATCGGGGCTGACTCCACAGCAACAATGTTACGCCTTTGGAGACACATTGTCTACTGCAAAGTGAGAACAACGAAAGAAACTCCGCCCCCCCCCCCCTACCCCCACCTCCTCCAACCCCTAAAAAAACGCAGACACACCACTTAAAGGGGCACTGACACCCCAAAGGTCGTATTTATTTTTATTGTCTAAAACGATGCAAGTTGCAGCCATAGACACGCAAAAAAAAAAACGCATCGCGAAAAAAAATTTTTTTGCGCGCACGCGCCCCTTTTTATTTTTGGCGTTTGATTTTCCCGCCTCTCGCCTCCTCGCTTCTTTTGATCGGTGACGTCAAAAATCAGGAAATTTAGAAGCTTTGTAGGCGACATCTCTATAACATTTAATTACGGCAATCCTAAAACATGTTTTTTAACGCAATTGCGAACGCACTACGGCCCTTCTTTTTGAAATACCAAAAATCGGGAGTTCGTTGTGGTGCCGTCTCTTGGATTTGTATCCTCCAACGGAAAACAGGCGACACCGCTCAAAACCGGTCCGCCGCAACGCCGGCGCTAGCCGGCGCTCGCTCCTTTCCTCCTCGCTTTGGGTCGCCATGGCAACAGCAGGGAGTGGTGAAAGAAAGTCGACTCTCAGGTCTCCGCAATTTTTGACGTCAAGGCACCGGCGCCGATCGCGCGGGAACGTCGAATTCGGCATTTGGAAATTGTTTTTTTACTTCACGAATACTGAATTCCCAAATTTCAAATTTTGAGGGTAATGTCCCGGCATCGTTTTCGACCGTTTCGGATAATAAAAAAAAATATGATTTTGATGTGTCAGTGCCCCTTTAACGTTTAACTAACCAAGGTACATTGAAGCATTGTTTTGTGGGCGCAAAGCTGCAAAGGAGTGTGCTGACAGGTGTGCATTCCTTTTCGTGAGACATCAGAAAAAGAAATTCTACGTTTTCACTGAGTGGCTTAATGGCGCCATTTCTATATTCAAACTCGGAGGTAGAACCTCCCTTCAGCAGTTCTTATGTTGCCACAGGAAATGGCTCCGACACAGCGTCGATCGTCTTACCTCGAACGCCTTTGTGCTTAAAGTGCTCCGCGATGCGGTACGTTGTCGGTCCTTTCCTGAAAATGGACGTTGGAAAATGCGTATACCAAAATGTAATCTGCACATTGGTCGACGCTCGTGTTTATCGGCACTTCCCGAGAGTAAGGCACAAGTGTTGAATTTTCCACGTCACCTATTGGAGGCCGGGGACAGATTGGACACGACCGCTGCGTCAGCGCTCGGTCGAACTCGGGTCCTATCAAGTACGACACGAACCCCGCCCGAACGCCATCCAATCTGTGTCCCGCGGTGGCATCCAATAGATTACGTGTAGACAATCCACCACTAGAACTTTGCTATTTAGGAAGTATTCAATCAATCAATTCACCAATAAAATGTATTCCAAATAAACACGGAACATACTGCACAAACGCATCTGGATCCATAGCCTTGGCTAGTCTCAAAACCATTCCAAGTGTATATATATATGCTATATATATATATATATATATATATATATATATATATATATATATATATATATATATATATATATATATATATATATATAATGCGGCGCTGATCTGTCACCGGTAAAATATCCATTCGATATAAAACTTTTCAAGTTTACTTTCAAAAGCTTTGTTTTCTTTTCGTTGTATACTTAAAGGGACAATGAAGACGATTTTATTTAATTTTTTTCAATGGTGTTTTTATGCTTCTTGGGAACATAGCATGATGCCCAATTTTTTGTAGCCATTTGTGACGCGTATTTCTGTGCATAAGAAAGAAGTAAAGGAACCGAAACTGAACAATCTCCATTTTCGTTTCTGGGCCTCCAAAAACGGAGGTGACGTAGGAGTGACGTCAAGTGTGAATAGTCGGTATCGGTAGTATTTAGGAGATCGAGATTCTGGTTACCGCGGTGGGTTATAGCGGCGCGGTAGTTTCGTCGAATCTGTCAACATGGACGGCAATGCCGCTTTCGCGAGCGAGTTCGAGCTTCCATTCAGTAACCTAACACACACGGAACGGGAGTACGTGTGTGGCGGCCTCCGCCGTCACCCGAGGGAGACCGCCCAGCCGGTAACGACGGTAACGAGCGGCCCGCATGCCGAAGTGCCCATAGTTGCTCGTTGGCCGTTTCGCAATCGCGTCCAGCGTAGCAAAGAAAAAAACAATTGTGCTGCTTTATTTACGGGCTAGTAATCCTTTCCGGTCCGATTTATACTTTTCATGGTTATTCAAGCGGAAATTAGGACAGTATTCCTCAAAACCGAGAACCAAAACGTGACCGAGGGCGCGTCTCTTGTTTCGACCAATCGCTGAGGCGTCTCTTGTGACGTCGCGCTTCTTGGCCCCGCATCGGTCACGTGAGCTCCGCTTCTCCTGGCTTCTCCCGCAACTCTCGGGGCGTCGCCCCAGTCGATTCCGGTACGATTATTACTGCGACTGTTCAATTGATTTGCGCGGCACACAAGCGCTGGTTTCGGCTGAAATTTGGGCAACGTGGTCCGAGACGTGCCTGGAACCCAGTTCAATCGCCAAAAAGATGTCCGAAATTGCCTTCATTGTCCCTTTACGGAATTATGGAGGTTTCTTCCGGTACACTCTATCATTTTTTGACCGTACATATCATGAGATAATGGAAAATTAAAATTGGCGGCGTAAACATTTCTACGCTCTAAAAAAAGCCCGTGAGTCTGTTTTCCCGCACAACACTCGGAGAGCCAATCACCGCAACTTACGGAGGCAGCTCAGCGGATGACGATGCCGAAACATCCGTTTAGACCAAAAAACACAGTCTGAGTTGTGACATTAAGCAATGCCATAGAGGAGGCTATGGCAATGCAAAACGTCACGCTTGCATTGCTTAATGTCACAACTCAGACTGCGTTTTTTAGTCTAAACAGATGTTTCGGCATTGTCATTCGCTGAGCTGCCTCCGTAAGTTGCGCTGATTGGTTCTCCGAGTGCTGTGCGTGAAAGCAGACGCACAAACATTTTTTAGAGTGTATAGTTACCCTACTTCATTGTGAAAATATCGCGCACCCTAACTACAGCTCTATAATCACGTAACAAGTGCAATGGTAGTATCCGTTGGTTTTGAAATAACGCAGCAGAATGAGCATTATCTAGGTCCAGTCTAAGAAAAGCCCATCCAACTACTTTCCCGCACAATACTCGGAGAGCCAATCACCGCAAATTACGGAAGCAGCTCAGCGAATGACGATGCCGAAAATATGTTTAGACCGAAAAACGCAGTCTGAGTTGTGACAATAAGCAATGCAAAACGTCACGCTTGCATTGCTAAATGCCACAGCTCGGGCTGCGTTTTTTGGTTCAATTATATGTTTCGGCATCGTCATTTGCTGAGCAGCTGCCGTAAGTTGCGGTGATTAGCTCTCCGAGTGTTGTGCGGGAAAGTAGACGCACGGGAATGTTTTAGAGAGTTGGTATCAGTGGACATCGGACAGCGACAAAGATATAAGCTCAGACATCTTCGCTCCATCTACAGAGGGCATTAAGGTTTGTATGATCGCATCATAACGTACAAAATATCAAAGCGTTTTTAGAGCTGTGCAGTTCAAATCTATCGAACAAATCGTCATGTGCTTAAAGGAGCTGTGCAACGATATTCAATTGGAATGTTTTTCTTTCAACACGAGCTTACTGGCACACCTGGGACTCAAGGATACTCACACGCAACGCCACTGGCCAAGAAACTCCTTTGTTGCGGTGTAATTTCAAGGACAAAAGCGATCATTTTCATTCAATCTCTCCTTTGCAAAATTTGATGACGTAACTCGGGGATCGCAGCACACCCAAGTGACGATATTTGAATGCAGTTCATAGATTGGACCCGAGCATTGCGTGGGCACTCGACTTGGGCTCGTGACAATTGCTAGCTCGAGAAGCATTCGGGTTGTGACCCGTGTCCAATCGCTGCAACGACGACAACAGCCGAGCCATAACAATGTCTGGAACTCAGCGCGTGTCCTGCGCTTTGCCAACCCCAGCGCGTGGCTATGATCAACACCGGCGGCATATAATCGGCTCCAGATCACGTGGCCGCTTGTTCTGGCTGCGAGTTGAGGGGGTGAACGCTGCTCGTTGTTCTTAAATTTTTTTCTGGGACTTCTATTGCGTGGGGTGAAAAATGAACGCGTGTTTCATAGGTTATTAACGTTAGGGATCGGTTTTAAGCGGTATTTGCGCAAAGTACAAAAATTGTTGCATCGCTCCTTTAATTTTATTTTATCTGAAACTCAGCCGATGTGCTCAAGTTCAATATCCGTATTCCTCGCACGTCGCCTTTACGACCTTTCTTTTCCTTTTTTTTTTTTTTCCTGCGAAACCTAGGATGCACAGACTGAGTCGATAAAGCGTCACATGAGGTGGCGCTTCACCTATCGACACGCGACGCATGCCGAAATGTGTAGTTGGTTTTCGGCGCAAGTTATTGTCAGGTGGAGCACTCTCACAGCTTTGACTGCACACACAGATATATAAACGCCCAACGAGAGCGCTCAACATTTGAGTAAACTTTTGTAAAGGCCTCTCCAAACCGAACACGTTTTCCGCAGTTACAGGTTTTATGGAGCCGGAAGTGGATGTTTTTCTCTGATTCCAGTCTTCCTTGGCGCTTCTTTTTTTTTTTCTTTTCTTTTTCTTGCGAGGGTAAAATTTTTGTTTTAATGTACCTCCGCTTCTATCCATGAACATAGGTTTGGAGTGTGATCGTCCCGTGGATCCGTACAGCAATTAACACGCTCCCCTGGCGGTCATTAAGGTCTCTGCTGCTGTTATCGCTTATCAGTTTCCAACTTCCCGAAAGCAAGAAAGGGGAGGATACGACAGCGAGGATCCGAAGAGGAAAGTTCTGCTGTTTCCATGATTGATGTGCTCGCCAAAAATGTGCATCCACGCCAAAGCTTTCACGCTTTCTCTCTTTTTTTTTTTTTTTTTTTTTTTTTTTTTTTTTTTGTTAAGCACATCTTTTTGTTGTTTTCGTCCTCGTTGTTGCTTTGTTTTGTTATGCCGTCCACTGCATATTTTTGGGGGTCGTGTTTGGACAGTCCTCAAAAATGCAATCGTTGATTAAACATTCGCAGCTGAGTAAACCCAATATTCCTACATAGACAAGCGGACGAGGCACGCTTCAGACGACAAAGTACAAAAGTTGACAATGGGCATGCGTTATCCGAAGAACACGCTCTTGGTGAGTTTTGACGTAATGTAAATCAGTACAACTACGGGCTACGTCTTCGAGAAAAGTGCCCACAAGAGCAAAAGAAACTAATGTTTTCATCAAATAGCCTAACACTGATTATAATTAGTATTTAACGTAAGTACTTCGTATTGGTGCGTATATCGTCATATCTAAGGTAATTTAATAAACCATTCACAGAGCAGCGGCAAAGAAACCTTTAGCTAGAGGTACCTTTGGTAAAGGGAGCTCTGTATCACATGGTGAATAAACGAAGGCTGAATGTATGGATGGATGGTACTCGACATACCCTTTGTATCGGCCTAATCGTGAACTAGCATGAACAGGGAAGAAAATCCTTCCTAGATGTCCACTGGAGTCATTGACCTCTACTACAGGGATCAGTGGATGGAGCAGGACGATGCTTGAGCGACCGGTGGAACACTCACCTTAGGCGGTTTAATGAAGAAGATGATGATATCCTTTCAAACTTAAAGGCTCGTTTACAAACAGTTTGCCGACGCCTCCACTTATACTGTACTAAAAAAAAGGTTCGCCATCTTCCCTTGCATTTCACACTCTCAGACCGGCGCGTCATTGAGGCCGCAATGACGGGTCCAAGATTTCAAGCCGTGTATTTTAATAAATGCAAATAACTATCTCAATGCTGCTTTGAATGTAATTACCTAATTACCTTGCTTGGCCAACATCCGTGCTGCGTGGGATAGTTTGTTTTAGTTGTTGTTGCTTTGCTCTGTTATACAAGAAAACGCTGTTGGCGGACATTGCACAAGCTAAGGACACCGGATCCTGGGAAAGTAGCGTTATTACGTTTTCTACCTGCTGGCTGGACACAATTAAACGTAT